TATGTCAAGTTTAGGTCCTAACTATAATTGTGGCGCTGTTGATATGAAAGTACTTCGTAAATGTTCAAATGGTTGCTAAATTCGAATTCAGCTCCAAAAACTAGCCTAGAAACATGTAAAGCTCGAAAAAGTGAACCGAGGTCACCTGAGGTCACCAAAGGTCAATGACCTGACCTGACCTTCAGGTGACCTTGACACCCACCCTTATGCATGGGAGCAGCATCAAATCATGTTTGAACGTTTGAAACCACGAAAAGCTTGCAAACGCGCGGCTAATGCGAGCCGACATACGCCGAATCGCGATTCTGGCCAAACATGGTCTTGGAAAAGAGGTCACAGGTCAAAGGTCATTAGGGTCAGAGTCATGAAATTTTCAGGGTAGGTGTAAAATTGATCAATGCGAGGGTACTGAAAGTTTCGTCGCGATCGGCCGCTTTTTACGCGAGTTATTCGCGAAAAACCTTAGGCGGGTTGCATCAACCCCCCCCCCTGTGCCGGCGAGGGTTTACCCGCGCCCCGTAGGGCTTCCGGCGGACCCTACCACCCGTAGGGGGGGGGGGGCGTTTCGGCCCCCCTAAGATCTCGGAAATTTACCGGCCGATTTTCAAAATTCAAACGGCGTTTGATAGCCCCACCCGGGAACTACCTTGTGACCAAATTTCATTGACCTAGGTCAAACCGATGACGTCACAGGTCAGGTCAAAGGTCAGATTTTCACCGTTCACGGGCATTTCAAGAAATGTGTTGTGAAATCGAGTAAATTGACAATTTATTGAAAACCATCGATGGTACATTGTTCGTCAAACATATACTTTGGTATCTGAGGTCACTGATACCAGGTCAGGTCACAGCGAGGTCAGGTCACTGGGGGGTTACAATATGAAAGTGTCGTGTGATGCATGTTTTATGGTCCATTTTACATGACAAATGCGATTATGTGGGTTAGGAAGCCTTTGGGGCCAGCCTAGGTCACGTTTTGGTGGTCAGGTCAAGTTGATATTTTTGCATAAAATGGGTATCGATTCGATGCAGCTCGTCAACGGGAGTCTAATGGTGGTCTTTGTTTTGCTCTACGGGGTCTAGAATTGCCAAAAATTGAGTTTGAAAATTTGACGTCATCATTTTTGAAGTGTTTTCGCTATAACTTGGCCAAAAAACGAGGTATCGATCTGAAATTTGGTATGTAGATAGAAGACGGTAGGTACTATCACATATATTCCGGTTTTTTCGAAACTCAAAAAACTTTTTGATTTTTGGCTAATATATCCAAAAAAAAAATGTTTTTTTGATTTTTGGGGGTAAAAACTCAAAAAATTTCAAAAATCCGAGATAGCAGTTTTGTAGCCCTGTCAATTCTACACCTTTTATGTCTTGATCATTTTTCTGTATCTTCAAAGCTGTAGGCCTGACAGGTCTTCTCGCGAAGGTCTTTTTTCGGTCGAAAATGACAGAACATGACGTCATTCTGACGTCATTTGTGGCCAACCTATCGTAGCCTCTGGAAAATTTTGGTCACAATGTGTAAAATTGATGCCCGGAGGGGTCTTAAAAGTTTGGTGGCGATATCTCCAGCCGCTTACGAGATATCGACCGAAAAGGACAGGGGGGCCGTTTCGCCCCCCCCCTACGGGGCGCGGGTTTTAAGAGGAAAAAACTATTGACCTAGTTCGGTTTGACAGTAGGTACAAAGCAGTAAAACATGTGGTATTCAAAATAGCCTAGTTATGCAAATACAGAAGCAGCGTGAACCAATCCCTCATCTCTTCTCTTCCACCCGTATTTAATTGTATAGAGGATGTACTGAGTAGAGTACTGGAGCCGGAGCTGGATCCGGAGCCACCGGAGCCGGATCATTTTACTCGGAGCCGGAGCCGGAGCCGGAGCCGCCATGACATTCCACCCGGAGCCGGAGCCGGATCCGATTTTTCTCCGGAGTCGGAGCCGGAGCCGTCTGAAATTTCCACGTCTCCGCATCCCTGGTTAGAGGGACCCTGGCCGGCCGAGGGGGGCGTGGGTGCCACCACATCGTTTTTTTTTTTTGCGACAGCTCGGAACACGTCGGCAACAGAGAGCCAAAACTGGGCATAGCTACCTGACCTTTGATGCAAACCGGGTCTTGTGACACCTGCATTTTCACGGGGGGCCTCTGGTCGTCTTAAGGACCCTCTGTTACCCTCAGAGGGACCCTATGATGGCCTCTGAAGACCATCACTGGCCTCAAAGGGCCCTCTAGTGGCCCCATGGGCCTTCTGGGTACCTGAAAGGGCCCTCTGTTTTCTCTCCAGGGGCCCTTTTTACCTCAAAAGGTCCTCTTTTACTTCATATGGCCGTATGTTGGTCTAATACATCAGGCCCCTGGTGGCCTAAAATAGCCCTCATATCATCTAAGGTGACCCCCTGTTTGCCTTAGGAAAGATGGCCCTCCGGGTGCCTGAGAGGCCCTGTTTGTGTCCCAAAGGGCCCTTTGTTGGCCTCATAAGGCCCCTAGTTGGCCTAAAAAGTCCTCTGATTGTCCTAAAGGGCCCTCTGATCGCCTCAGAAGGCCGGCTTTTTCCTCAGAGTGCCTGATGACCTCAAAGAGCCCATAGTGGCCTGACATAGCCTTCATATCACCTCAGAGGGCCCTCTGTTGTAAGGCTCAAGTGGCCTTCTCAGAGGACTCTGACTGCCCTGTGACTGACATTTGTCCACTCTTATCCCCCTTTTGGGTGACCTATTTCCCCCTCTGACACCCAAGCCAAAATACAATTTTGGGACACTGACTCCGAGGGCCAGTTGATTTTCAGAGGGCCCTCCTTGAGGTGGATGTGAGGGCCCTCTGTTCGCCTCAGAGGGCCCTCTGGTGGCTTCAGACTTCAGAGGACCCTATCTTGGCATCAGAGGGCGCCTCTCTGTGGCATCAGAGGGCCCTCGGAGGCCTCAAATGGCCCTATTACATCTCAGAGAGCTGTCTTTGACCTCAGTGGGATCTTTTTTACTTCTTTGTGGTGTCTAAGGGGGCCCTCTGGCCTTTGTTCGCCTCAAGGGACCTCAAGGGGTCCTCTGATGACTTCCAAGGACCCTCTTTGATCTCAGAGGGCCTGATGACCTCATAGGGCTCATGGTGGTCTGATATAGCCTCATATCACCTCAAAAGGCCCTCCAGTGGCCTCAGAGGGCACTTTGTGGCCTTTGAAGGCCCTCCATTCGCCTTATAGAGGGCCCTCTTTGATCTCTTTGATCTCTTCGATCTCAGAGGGCCCTCTTTGAGGTGGCTGAGAGGGCCCTTTGTTCACCTCAGAGGGCCCTCTGGTGACTCCAGGGACCATCTTTGATCAAAGAGGGCCGTCTGGTGGCCTCAGGATACCTTGTGGCCTGAAATCGACCCTCGTACCTACCACAGAGGGTCTTCTGTTCGTCTTTCTCAGAGGACCCTCTGTGTACCTGATAGGGCCCTCTGTGTGCCTGAGAGGGCCCTTTGTGTGTCTCAGAGGGCCTCTGTGTGCCTGGGAGGGCCCTCTGTGTGCCTGGGAGGGCCCTCTGTGTGCCTGAGAGGGCCCTCTGTGTGCCTGAGCCCTGAGAGGGCCCTCTGTGAGCCTGAGAGGGCCCTCTGTGTACCTGAGAGGGCTCTCTGTGTGCCTAAAAGGGCCCTCTGTGAGCCTGAAAGGGCCCTCTGTGTGTCTCAGAGGACCCTCTGTGTACCTGAGATGGCCCTCTGTGTGCCTGAGAGGGCCCTCTGTGTGCCTGAAAGGGCCCTATGTGAGCCTGAGAGGGCCCTCTGTGTGCCTGAGAGGGCCCTCTTTGTGCCTGAAAGGGCCCTCTGTGTGTCTCAGAGGACCCTCTGTGTACCTGAGAGGGCCCCCCGTGTGCCTGAGAGGGCCATTTATGTGTCTCAGAGTGCCTTTGTTTGCCTGAGAGGGCCCTCTGTTTACTTCACAAGGTCCCTCATTGGCCTAAAGGTGTCCTCTAATAGTTCTCAAAGGGTCTCTAAAAGAGTTCCACAATACTTTTTCTTTTTGCGAATAAAATGGGAAGTGGTCAAAAGGGCCCTTAAAGTCATTTCACTTTTTCCGTGTTATAAAAAAACTTTTTGTCTAGGCTCCAGCCTCCAGAGGGGTCCTAGGACCCCCAGGACCCCCCCCCCCTGGATACGCCACTGACGTCAACGCAGATAATGATTTTTTAATGTTTGACTAAAACGTTTTGTAGCACGCGGTGGTATATGCTGCTTTGAGCGCAACAAGTGCCGCACTTTCAGCTGCCAAACTATTGCTTCCAAATAAAGTCGCTAGGAACAGCGGAGATCCCAAAAGTAAACAAAAGTAAAAGCCTAATATCTTGAAAACGGGTGAATATTTTTCGGTGAAACTTGGTAGATTTTCGTTTTCGCTCTTTCTGAACCGAGCGACATCACTTTCATGCCAATTCATAAACTTTTTTGAAGATGGGAGGGTTCCTTTAATAGGTTTCTTGTATTTTGAATGGATTATGTCCACTATCTCGAACAATGTTTTCCAGGTACTAAATGCTCAATGTTATTGATAGACAGTCACCGACAGTGATACATGTACAGATACAGATTGTGATGTGCATATAAAGGAACCACTGTGATTTATCGCCAATGTTACATTTGTGAACTGTGTCTGTCCATAGTGGTAGGATCAGGCAACGTAGCACAAATGACCTTTAAAAAGATATTTTGAAATGCGACAATCGGAAAAAAGATGCAAAAGTGTTCTTTTGGATATTTCACTGATGAAGTCCTGTGGCCCATATATTTGAAAATGCTTAAACAATATAATTTTGGCTCAGCATATTTTTGAAAAGGAGGAAAGGTCATGATAATAAAGAAATACTTGATTTTCATGAGAATCATTATTGGATTCAGGATGTCAAAGAATGTAAAAATATTAAAAATTTATCAATGAAATCTGCTTAGGACTTTATCATTATGGATCCACCAGCGATTAGTGAATAACCCAATTCCCCTCATTTAAATCCAGTGAATGAAATACACTTACCTCGGTACCATGAAGAGTGGAGGCAATTGAAAGGAATATGAATATGTAAGAGTGAACTGAAAAGCCCATTTTGAAAATTGTCTTATCCTCCCATCTGCCAAGGCCGTATAAGTTAGGTAACAAGGCCATATAACCTTAGGTAAGTTAGGTAAGATATGTTTTAGGGCCTTGGGTAAGATCGTCAGAGCTCGCTAATGTTACAAATCTGCAACACTACGGTGACGTCACCGGGGCATACGCTCCCTGGCTCCATCCGGACCCTGATGCGGCGGCTGGAATCGCTGCTAATCGAAAAATTACTTGTGCAATAGCGCTTTTAAATCTGCTTTTAAATGACTTTAAAAAGGGAAAAATTATGATAACGAAATAATTATGAGAATCCCTTGTCCTGACTGGGATTGTATGACCCCACCACCTAGCGGACAACGTCGTAATTAGGGTTGAGTTGGCGATCGCCAGGTGGCTTGTCAGTAAGCTGTCAGCCGCAGATAGGAGAGGGGCCGTCAGGCGCTTAATATTATGTAAACGCCAGATCATGCTCAGGAAAATGCGATACGCTTCAGAACGGTCATTTATCCCGAAAAAGATGCGGTGCCCTGTGGTGATATGGCCCACATGACTCGGGACCCGTAGGTCGTATACGGCCTACGGGTCCCGAGTCATCAGGGGCCTTTAAGGCCCTTGTGGTCACCGGCAGCTCCCAAGGCCCCTACGGACGCGATACATACTTCGAAAATCGCTAGACAAAGGACACAGGGGCGCAGCCAAGGGGGGGGGGCCACCGTTCCGTGCTTCTATCCTCAGGATACTGAAATCCTTCTCCTCCACGCCGCAACCCTCATCCGGGCTGGACAGGCAACTTTATCTCATGCGGGCTGCTCCCTTGGAGCGGCACCGCTGCTCCCGAGGGAGCGCACCCCGTAGCCGGGTGCAGTGAGTGCCTTGGGGCTGGGTGGCCTGTCCTCTGGACGGGCTCAGCCCCGGCGACTCACTAGGGTGCCTGCCCAGACCAATGTCTCCCCCTATATCCTATCATCCTCCCGGCTCTGAAATGGTCTCATTGGACCGAAAGGGCCTGACCCAACAAAACAAACAAACAAAAGCCAAGGGGGGAGGGGCACACTGGGCTTTAGCCCCTCCCAAATCTAGCAGGCGCCCTCCGATCATTCTGTGCGCCGATGGCGCCTTTTCAGTGTCCCGACTCCGAGCACTCTAGTCGCCCTCGACGGTAAGCCATTGCGGCGTCATCATGCGGTGCTGGCGCCCAGATTTACAATTTTATATCTCTTTGTGGGTGAAGACGCACCCACAATCCTGAAATGCCGGATATCCACTCCCAATCTCCTGACCATCGATAGCGCCCTGGGCTCACCTTCAGCGCCCTTCTGTCTGCTCGGCGCCCTTCTGATCTGCAATCTGCAACATTCAGTACACGGCCATGGATAAAGTATTCCTGGATAGGACCAGTGGCGGCGCCACGAATTTTCGCCAGTGGGGGCAAGCTTGAGGTGACCCGACTGTTGTCTAATACGCCGATCTGCAAAATCCATGAGCATCTTGCCCCTAGATGTTGCCATTCAAAATTATCATGGTTTCAGGTTTCATGCATATGTATTGAGCTGAACCATTAACCCTCGCGGGCCCGCGCGGAAGGCGGGGGGGGGGGCGTTTTTCGCCTCCCCTGGCGAATATTTGCGATACCTCACGAACGCTTAGGGATAGAAAGACGAAACTTGTTGTACCTTATGCCCCATTAATTTTACATCTTTTGAAACAAAAAATTTGGACCTAGCCTCCTCGATAACGTCTCAGGGCCGATTTCTCAAGGCAAACTTCGGCGCCACATGACGTGAACTTCAACCAGCTGCCAAAAATAGAGTTTTAGAGATAAAGACAAATTACGAGCACGGTTGTGTTGCATTTGACCCAGAAAAATATTTAAGTAACTTTAGTGACCGGAGGTCAGAGATCAGGTCAACGACCCCGAGCTGGGGCTTTATTTTTTTTTCGCAAATAACTTCAACAAAAATGATGGTCCTAGAGCTACGGCAGTGGTACCTTCGCATTCGTCTCGTCGAGTCGCGTCGAATGACATATATATTGTTTGGAAAAGGTCAAGTTTTATGTTGACCTCATGTGACCCCGAATGACCTTTGGTTTACTTTGACACATGAAAGGTCGTTTGTAATTATTTCGTAGCCGCTGATCACGATTCTGGCATCTATTTTGCTCTAAGCATTCGTTTAGAGCCTCAGGATGGCAAAACGTGTCTTAACTATTATCCCTGACTTGAATAAGTGAAAGAAAAAAGTATAAGAAAAGTGCAAAGTTTGTGGTCAATTTTGAGCATGACCGTGACCTTGAATTTGAATGTTATGCACATCACGGGAATTCCGGACTCTCTTCTTTCGTTTAACATTTGCATTTTAGCCGGTTTTATGCACTATGCCGTCCTCTGGAACACGTACTTTGAGACCATTACAAAAGTGCCGGTTTTTGCCTTTGACCTTGACTACTGACCTTGAAAATTAAGCTGAGGTCAAAAAGTTTAGGTGCTTTAAGGATCTTCTCGTAGATATCTTTCATTTGGTACCGTTTTTGTTTCCGTAGCTGCCTTATTTACGGAGTTGGACAGGTGGGGGAGGGGGGCTACCCCCGGGCTGCGGTGGTTGGGATTACCCCCGGGCCCGGCCGGGTTACGGTTGCGAGCAAATAAAACTATAGAACTAGATTGCGAGACACAAACATGTGAAAACGTTATGTTGTTCGTTGAGATGTAAAATGGTGTATTCCTCAAAACAATAGTCAGTACCTAGTTCTCTTTTTTCCCGTAGTACGTTTGTATATGTGCGATTCTCTCACACACGATTGATACCAGAATAAGCTCCATTAGTGCGACCCACACACATTTCCAGATAACCCGGATATGCATGCCTATCACATTTTGTCTATACCTCCCTAAGCTCAGCTCAGTCTAAGGGTTCCCAAAACAGGGTGATCTCTTCTCTGGCCGACTTTTGACAAGCTGCCTCTCAACCTCCTCGAGGTCAAGCTCGAGGGCAGCCTTCGGGTGCAAATGAAAAAGAGTAGGAGAATGAGTGGGAGTAGGAGATATGCGACAGACGGTCCGAGAACGAACGTTCTGCTGATGCACTTGATACGGGGACCGACGAGTCCGACGACCTTCAAAAACAGGCGTACTATTATGTTATTAACCGCCTATCATAAATGTTGCACCGGTCTTCTGTTCCCCTTTCAACATCAGCCAAATTTTGTGGGGGCAAAAACATAGTCTTGCCCCCACGGCCTCCTGCCAGTGGGGGCAGTCTGCCCCCACTGCCCCCACGGTGGCGCCGCCCTTGGATAGGACACTCTCCAGTCTCCCTATTCCCTAACACTAGCGCCGGCGACCATGCGGCCGCCTGGTGGCGGAGCGCCGAAACATCGGTGGCGAGTGCACCGGCGGCCGCCGCAGCGGCTTGCGTGCTGAAAACGCGGTACCTAATGGAGAGCGAAATTAGCGAGCTTTAGCTCGTAAGACACGATTTCAGACACTGAAAGCATATTTTTTAGTATATTTTTTAGTCCTTTCTTATCATAATTATGGCTCCATTTAGTCACTATCATCACATACAGAACCATTATATATACACGATTCGCCCATAGCCCGCAATGCTAAATGGTGCCTACGCCCTCGCCGTCGTGCGTGGTCGGAAAATCGGCGGAGTGTCCCATCCAGGAATACCTAATCCATGGTACGGCCCAAGGCTATATAAATTATCTGTAAGAATCTTTCCCCGCGTTCGATGTCTCACGGACGACGAAGATTCTACGTCGTCTGGCCAATCTCGTTCAAGGTCAGCGGGGGCTCGGCTGCGGTTATGGAGCGTGATTGGCCGGACGGCGTAGAATCTTTGCCGTCCGAGAGACATCGAACGCGGGGTTGATATAAACCTGCGGCCTTGAGGTGGGCCCAAGGGTGGGCCAACTCGACCCCCGCCGAAGTTAGTTGGTAGCACTGCTGCTCCACGGCGTACATTTCCTACCAGCCCATAGAGTTTACATGTTAAATGGCCTGTTTTCGGCGAGCGATATCTCGGCCAATATTTGAAGAAATTAATGGCTCTTAGTCTCAGATGATAGATCGACAAATTTTCTTTTGACAATTCCTCTACCATTTTTCACGAAACCCAGCCGATCTTCTACGGCGTACAGGGTAAAGATTTCTCTGCACGCCAGCGCGGCGCCCGCGACGCGCCTCTCCGGCCGTCGGCGCGCAGTACGCGGTAGCGCAGTCGGTAGCGTATCGGACACGGACGTATGAATAAACTGGACCCGCAACCACCTCCATTCAGGTGAAGCCGACAAGGCGCCATCTTACGTTGCCAAAATACCGTGCTCTGGAAGGTCGTCGAGCCAATAGAATTATAATTGCGTCTAAACGGATGACCGGATCGAGATGCTGGTGGTACATAAATCCACCCCATGTGGATTTATGTACCTAAATATCTCGAAAACGGCGTTGTGGAGCGCCGCCATTTTTTGGCGCACTTTTCATACATCTTTTTCACAAATGCTGCATAACTTTCAGACTTTAGTCGCTCAAGGTTAGGTCACCAGGTTACGTCTAAGTGCCCTTACCTTAGGAAAAATTATAATGCCCGTTATAGCTAAGCACACTATAAACAAATGGTTTAAAATGTGCAGTGATTGATAAGATCAATAGTATATACGTAGAGTACCTACCTCTACCTCGGAATTTCAAAATCACTGTCTAGGGTTCTGTTGATTTTGCGACCTCAGACCACCAGCACGGCAAATCATTTATGTTGTCAAATTCGGGCTCCTAAACTTTTTGCTACCCACCAACGCAAATTTACGCCTCAATCGCCGGTCAGCGCAGCATACGGGCATCTTTGTTATCCACGTTGTTTCCGCCTGCAGTGATGCTGTACCGCAATAACCATTATCTTCATCTTTCACCCATAGATGGCAGTAGCCAAGCGCCTGCATCTATGCTGTGCCGCAGTGCTCTTACAATACGAGCTGAGCATTGAGCAGGCGCGGTGTAATACAATTACCTATGTGGTGGCCTGGACCGGTGACCGCGGCCAAGAAATGGTTCGAACTTGACTGAGTAGCGGAAAATCGGTATGTGATATCTCACGAGACCGTGTTGGGTCAAAATCGTGATTCGGCGTAAGTCAGCCCACAT